AAGAAAATACTATATAATATCACTCATATGTGGAATCTAAAAAAAAAGGAAGAAAAGAAAAAAAGAAGACACTAATGAACTCATCTACAAAAGAAACAGACTTGCAGACATAGTAAATAATCTTATGGTTACCAGAGAAAGGGGGTGGGAAGGGATAAATTTGGGAGTTTGAGATTTGCAAATGTTAACCACTATATATAAAAATAGATTTGAAAAACCAAATTTTTTCTGTACAGCACAGGGAACTATATTCAGTATCTTGTAATAATCTTTAAGGAAAACGAATATATGCATATATACGCATGACTGGGACATCATGCTGTACATCAGAAATTGACATATTAAAACTGACTATACTTCAGTTAAAAAAAATCACTGCTGAAAAAGCTATGTTACAGTTTATTGTGACCCTAATTCAATCCAAGGTGACAGGTGAAATCATCTCAACTGAATTTTAAGTTTCTAGGGCAGCACCACTTGAGGACAGCTACTGCCTTGTTAAAACACAAGATTCTGACATTAAGAGATTTCTCTTTCTCCATCCATCATTTTAGGGCATCTTGAATCACATGATCTAGAGCCAGATCGGCTTGTTTCTGCTCTCTCACCCTGGACAGGTGAGCATTTTCCCTTGATGCACGTCATCAGCATGGCTGATGTTCTCTCCAAGTCATCTTCACTTCCCCAGAGAGGCCAGGTAGGCATACCAGAACAGAGCCACCACGTTGGCAAAAAGCACCCGGAACTGCCAGGAAGAACACAGACAGGCTTAAGTAAGGGCAGGCCCTGGGCACACTTATCAGGCACCATTTCCCCAGGACAGAGCTCATCCACTAGTTAGTCCATCCACCAACTATTGTGTTTGCTGAGCCTTTACTTTGCACAGAGTACTGGGCTAGGACCCCAGCAGAGAAAGGTGAAGAGGACAGGCCCTGTCTAATAGTGTTTACGGGACAGTAGTGAGACAGGAGGGAAGGGGGCAGGGCACAGCCATTCAAGGAATGACAGCAACTAACAGCAAAACTGTGGAAGACTGAACTCCCAGTTGGCCTTGAGGATTGAGATGGCGGGAGATTTGACTTCTAGTAGACCTTGAGCTTCCTTACATGCTCATTGTAACATATTAGCATGATAAATAACACGCCCACAGGCGCCACGACAGTCCCAAGGCTGACCACAAAAGGTCGAAGAACCCCAGCCCCTTCCCCGGGGTTGTTGGCCTAGTCCTCCCACTTGCAGGCGTGGGAAGCTACTGAGCCCATAAAAACTGGCAGCACCACGCCTCGTGGCCGCCTCTCTCACTCCCTCGTCTTCGGAGACAGCCCGCACTCTGTCTACGGAGTGTGTACTAACTTTTACTTTAATCTGAGCACCACACCTCGTGGCCTTTCTCTTGCCTTTTGAAACAGCCTATACTCTATACAGTATGTCTCTCTCTAAATCAATCTACCTTTACTCAACTGTGGCTTGCTCTTGAATTCTTTCCTGCGTGAAGCCAAGGACCCACATCTGGGGTGGCATGTCCCAAGGGCTCCACCGAGACCCAGGACATGGCCCTCCTCATGCCCCACCTCCATTTTTCCTGCATCATCTCGGAAAATGGTCCTTTACTCAGCACTTTCTGGTTCAGCTTCTCTCATCTTAGGACCAGTTGTCATGCATGTGGCTTTAACCAGCCCTTCCCTGACAACTCCATGACCTTCCCTTCACGCTAGCCTGTCCTGTCGATGATCTGATGCACCTCCCCCCACTTGAAATCCCCTTTAGTCAGTTACTGCGTCTCCTTGGCACATAAGCTCATGAAAGCGGCAGTCTGATCCAGCTCACTGAGCTCGGTAGCCCTAGAGTCTAGAGCAGCAGGTCATAAAACAAGTGCTCAGTATTTGCTGAATAAACTCCCTGCCCCTTAAGAACTCGCCTGCAACCCCTTAAAATAGTAGGCGAGTCTTTGGCCCCGCTCTGGCAGCCCTGCCCCTGAGCTCCTCAGGAGGGTGCAGTCTTCCAGCCTCTCCTCTCCGTCCATGGGCCCCTCCACAGCCCCAGCTGCTCTGTCTCCCCTGTCTTCTCTATGTCATTCTCTCTCATGTCTTAGAACCCATGGCTCATAGCTCTGGTTTCCTTACGTTCCTGTTCCTCCGCTGGACTCCCTGGAAAAACCTCCATCCTCCCTGTCTTCTAACCTCCCCCAGGCCCGTGCACATAAGGGTCTTTGGCTTCTGCTGGCTCCCCTGTCTCCAATCAGCTTCTCCTCCCAGTCTCCACGATGCCAAGGTTACCACTTCTTCACTCCCCTCAAAATACCCATCCACCTCCTCTCCTCTCAGGCAGCCCCATCCCACCCACCACCCTCCCAGAGGAAAGAGAAGGGG